GGGGGGGGGGGGGAGCGAGGGGAAGATATAAAGGACATCACCAAGAGTCACAAACAGCCAACCACAATATCTGCTGGATACCATGAGTGAGGCAGGATGATGGCACAGTGAAGGTCTGATCTGGAAGCCACCCTGAACACAGCCTGTTTAAAATGCGGCCTTCAAAGGTCTGAAACCCATTGCCTCTCTAGAGCAGTGCAGTTACTCTGGCGGTCAGCCATGCTCCAGCAGCACAGGAGAATCCGCCCAAACCCCTGTCTTTCTTGGAAAGCCCATTTCTTATTATTTGGCAAAATGTCTCATTAACATCATCAGCGTCATTATGTTTCATGTTTACTAATATATTTGGACCTCTGTAAATACTATATACATTCACATGAATGGTACCATTTTTTCTGCCCGTGACTGGTCAGTATCTCCGGGGGGGGGAGGCATTCGTGCTGTCCCCCACCAACCCACACCCCATATTGCACTCCTGTCCTTAGCACTTTGGGCAGCGAGCGATGCAAGAGAGGCAGCAAACCATGTTTCATGTTTACTAATATATTTGGACCTGTGTAAATACTATATACATTCATATGAATGGTACCATTTTTTCTGCCCATGGCTGGTCAGTATCTCTGGGGGGGGGGAGGCATTCGTGCTGTCCCCCACCAACCCACACCCCATATTGCACTCCTGTCCTTAGCACTTTGGGCAGCGAGCGATGCAAGAGAGGCAGCAAACCAACCCCAGCCCCTTCCTCCTCCTCCTCCTCTAAGGACACCAACCCCTGATGGTTTTGCCCCGGGGAGTGAGAGCGTCAGACCAGATGGAGACAGAAGACCAAAGGGAAAAGAGAAAGCCCCTGCCCCAGGGGGAGGTGAGTGGGGAACGGAGGGTCCCCAGAGAGAGGTTTGCTGCAGGACAAGGGAAGGGAAGAGGCCTTTGGGAGGAAGTGAAATCAGAGCCCTGGGAGTGGCAGACTGCAACACTTCCTTTGTGACTGGAAGAAGTTGGGGCCACCATCGCCAAAGAACCGCCTGGGGTTTGGTAGGTTACAGAGAACACAGAGAAAGAGAGGGAGAGAAAGAGGTAGTGGTGGACACAACTCCAGCCAGAAAACCCGAACAGGTATGCAGTTACTTTCTGCTCCTGGTCTGCAAAACAGCTGATGATTAAAGAAGAAGAAGAAGAAGAAGAAGAAGAAGAAGAAGAAGAAGAAGAAGAAGATGATTATCACAAGTTTTTTTTCCTTTTCTGGGTCAGGGCTGTCTCTGGATGAAAGTGGGTGGGTGTTGAAGGTGGCTACCGAAAGCTTTTTCTTTTTTAAAGAAAAACAACAGATTTATAACCCACCAAAGAAGGGAGTTTAAAGAGTCATATCAGCATCTCTCTCTCTCTCTCTCTCTTTCACACACACACACAAACACACACACACCTGCCCTCACACACATAC